AACAAAAAAAAAAAAAAAAAAAAGAAAAGAAAACAAAAAAGATGGAAAATAAGAGAAAAAAGAAAAGAAATAGAAGAGGTATATGTTTCTACGGTCGTCGTATCTCGACGCGGGATGCGACGAGGAATATTTAATACGAGGGTGCGAGATGAGCGCAATGTCGACGACTTTGGTTGAAACACTTCCGGATATATCTTGCTAGACTCGAGAAGTTACTCCTCTTATTTACATCGGTTACGTCTAATGGAATCGGGACAATTTGGACACCGATCGTCGTCGCAGTTCCAATTTACGCGACCGATTCTCGAAACGACATTTTCGTTAGAAATAATTCGCGTTGCGGTCAATGACGGGAACAGTTCGGGGAACGAGCGCCCGGCTCTTCTCACAATCGGTGACAGTGACCAAAGTGCGTGTTCGAGCGCGCGTGAAGCGAGCGTTACGGGGCATTGGCAATTTATCGCGATACCTCTCTTCTTTCGTTCGCTCCTTCTCTCTCCCCGTCTCCACCTCATCTCGTCTCTTCGTTCCCTTTGCGCCAGTTGGAGAGCTACTCCTCCGGCATTGCAAAAGGAGCTGCGAGAGCGGCGCGACCGCAGCAATGCCGGGTTATTATAAAACAAAAGACGATGCTTGATGCCGATAATAAAGAAGAGGTACGCGCTCTCTGAACAACACTGCAAGGTGGGACAAAGAGGGTGGCGATCGAGACCGAGGAGGGAAAGGACGAAGGAAAAGCGATATTCTCGAAGGTAGCGGGCGCGAAGGATGTGGTTCCACGCACCGCGATCGACTTAATTCGCGCGCTCCCGACTCTTTTTCCTCCCAGTGGCCTCTCTTCCCCTCCGGTTAGGCTCCGAAACGTCCTCCTCCAACTTTCACCTCCCCCTCGTGGCTTTCTTATTTAGTATCCCCGTTTGCCCCTCTCTTTCTCTCTCACTCTCACTCTTTCTCATTTTCTCTGTCCGTTTCTCGTTGCTGACCACCTCTCCAGTGCTCCTCCATCACTGCTGGCAGCCCGCTTACCGCCAATCATCATTTTCAATTCTCCGTGGTGGAGCGCCTCTCTTCGGTGCGCGTCATTCTTCTCCTCGTTCTGTCCGTAGTCTCCTTCTTCCTTCCTCCTGTCCGTGAATACGTGCGTCCGTAAAAAAAAAAAACAAAAAACGTTGGGAATATTATTCCAGAGATCCAGAGGAACGAACGACGGGGGTGGAAGAGAGGGATAAGTTGAGGGCACAACATTTGCCGCGTGCTAGGATGTGACGTCGGGACCAACACGTTTCTTCATTTTGCTACGTTTGGGAGGAACGGACGCGAACGGAGCAGAGTCTAAACTGTGGGCGGAATGCCAGGGCTCCGGTACCTTACGATCCCCTCTGGCTGGAACAGGCCACCGAGATATCACTGATTTAGGTGTTTTTCTTTTTTTGTTTCTTTCTTTTCGTTTTCTCCCGAGGACAAGTGCTTTCTTCTTGATTGTGCCTTCTTAATCTGTTTAATGGCGAAGTAACTCAACGGAAGGCCCAGATAAACGACGCTCTTTTAATTCCTCCCTTTTCTCCTTTCTCCACGCCTTTTAAATTTCACCAGCGGCGTACAGGGCCCGCAGTCTCGCCGGCTCGTGTTCTCTCGTAACAATTACCCGAAACGCGTTCCGCGAACGTTTTATCGTTGGACTCGTGGCCCTCTTACAGTTATCAGTTGGACGTTTCGCGTACGTGTAACAACCCGGTTTCACATGCGCGATCGTTAGACTGTATAAAGAGATTCTGTGAAACGGGTGGAAACAAACCTAACCCAAACCTTTCGTACGTTTGCGCGCAGGAAGAGCGACCAGAGAGGGGCTTGTTTGACATAGTTGGAATCCGTGAAACGTTTAAGAGTATCTTCAAAGGAGTACGAATCCGTGCCATTACTCTCGCAAGAAAAAATCCTTGTACATTCGCCCTGTTGCTGTGCTACATATCATTATCATCTTCCTGTCAATCATTCGTCGTTTCAAACCCAGTGACCTCCGACGTAAGTCCAACTTCTCGAAATTCAATTAATCCATTCGCCAATCGGAGTGTTTAAAACACTCTTAACAGCATGCTCATGACCGAGTGAAATCCCCGCGTCGCGATAAATCAGGGCGACGTTATTAATACACTGGCGAGCCTTTGGACTCCACCCTGGGGAGCCAGGGCTCACGAGAGCGAGAAGAGCCGAGCGTATCGCAACGGCTGGCGTGCACAGTCGCGCGCGATTTCTCTGTAAGATTGGTCTCCTTATGCCCGGTTCACACTTGCAACGGAGACACAAAGTCACTCACCATTGGCGGATCCTGCGCGACCGTTGTTCGTCACACGGCTGCCCACTTTCTCTCTCTCTCTCTCTCTCTCTCTCTCTCTCTCTCTCTCTTCTTTTATTCCGCGGCTCGTTCCGCGCGCCACAGACCAGTTCCTCTCCTTCTAGCCTCGGTTAAAGGACTTTTAACAGTAAGGTGCTCCGCTCCGCGACCGTTTGCGAGCTGGTCGCTCGGATGGTTCGATGGTTCACCGGTTGGTTGAACGACCTAGCCCGGATCCGCCGGCTCGTTCATACCGATCGCCTCCTTCTGTCTCCTTCTCCTCGGTTCTGACCGGGCTCATGCCCATAAATACGCGCCGCTGTACGTAACGCTGTCTCTTTTCGATACGTTTTAACGCCCGGGACTGGTACACGCGCAGCGCCCACCTTTCAAACCGCGGACGCGTTCCGTCGATGTCTGGATAATCGTTGCGTTGAACGCGGTACCCCGATCCGATAGATCCCACACCGAACACGGAACCTGGATCGTGAGATTCGTCGCTGAAGCACGAGTGATGGCCCGCCGATGAACGAATCGTAGAAACGCGATCTATCGAAGGATAGATCGCGTTGTTCTTCAATTAATGGTAATCGCTTGATCGATATCACTGAGATAGAAATCGTTGCAGCAGAAAAGTTTAACGTGAAAAGCTTTCCTGCGAATTGGTTTGGCTTGGTTCGCCAAGGGTCAACGTTGTGTTAACAGAGCATTTCATAACCTCATTTTTCGTTTAATCAGTTCCCTTTCTGTCCTTCTAATATACTGTCGACACGAGGTGGACTTTGGCTTATATTCTTCCTTCTACTTAAATTCAATGTATGGTTCGATGAAGTTTGAATATATTTATTCGTAATATTTCATGGAACATGTATTATTCCAATACATTTCTTATATAATAATACCGAATAATACTCGCAAGTTATTTAAATTTTTACCAAATTTCACGTATTAATTCGCCGTCAGATCATTACTGGGTTAATCTCCTTCCGCAACGGTAGGCACATTCGTGT